TCCAAACTATTGTGACACCAGATCTAATTAGTGGCACTTGTCAGCTTATCCACTGTTAGCGTAACACACCCGCTTTAAGGACACTGACTGCTATTCAATCTATAACAGTAAAAAAAGTTTTTTGTTTTTAAATCCAAGCTATTGTGACACCAGATGTAATTGGTGGCACTGACTGGGGAAATGGGCACAGTATGCTCTGTGAGCCTGACACAGAAGCTGGCAGCAGTGGCAGACAACTGACTGCTATTCAATCTATAACAGTGAAAAAGTTTTTTGTTTTTAAATCCAAGCTATTGTGACATCAGATGTAATTGGTGGCACTGACTGGGGAAATGGGCACAGTATGCACTGTGAGCCTGACACAGAAGCTGGCAGCAGTGGCAGACAACTGACTGCTATTCAATCTATACAGTGGTGTTTTGTTTTTAAATCCAAGCTATTGTGACACCAGATGTAATTGGTGGCACTGACTGGGGAAATGGGCACTGTGAGCCTGACACAGAAGCTGGCAGCAGTGGCAGACAACTAAGTGCATTTACATTAGATAGAAAAAAAAAATCCAAAAAAAAGCATACCCTTATCCCTAACCTAGCTATGCTTTTCCCTATCTTATGAACAGCAGCTACACTTTCCCTCCTCTTACTAAGCATGCAGCTTGAGAATGAATCTAAAATGGATGCTGTCCAGTAGGTGGGAGGGTCTGCTAGGGAGGCTGTGCTGCTAATTGGCTGGAATGTGTCTGCTGACTGTGAGGTACAGGGTCAAAGTTTACTCAATGATGGCGAATAGGGGGCGGGTCGAACCGCGCATATGTTCGCCCGCCGTGGCGAACGCGAACATGCTATGTTCGCCAGGAACCGTTCGCCGGCGAACCGTTCGGTACATCACTACTGACTGCCATTCTGGGGTCAAGAAGGAATTTTTTCCTAGTTTGCTGCAAAATTGGAAGCGCTTCAAACTGTTTTTTGTTTTGTTTTACCATCTTTTAGATCAACCGCAAAAACAGATGTGAGAAAGGAATGTCAAGCCAGCAGTAAGGGTCTAATGGAGGCAGGGTTTGTGCAAGAATTTTTGGCTCAACAGGCAAGGATGCCTTTTACTATCCTCCCCAAAACATTGCATCTTCACATGTGTGTGTGCCTTAACCCACCCCCTTTTAATTTTTTTACACCCTTTTGTGTTTTATCCCTTCTTTTGAATGTCTGACCCTCTTTAGTGGATCTTTCCCCCATTTGTCTACTTTGTGTGTCTTACACCCTCATTGTAAGTTGCCTACAACCCCCTTGTGTGTCTCTTTTAATGTCTCTTACTTCCTCACAGACCTTTTTTGAGTCTTGCCCTCCCTGCACCATTGAGTTTTTTTTTCACCTCCAGCCTCTTTGGGTCTCTTTTTCCCAATCCCTCGCCCCTTTGTATGTCTCATTCCACAGCCTATCTTGTGTGTCTCTTCCCCCATCCCCCTTGTGTGTCTCTTTCTTCCCTTCCCCAGGCTCGCTTGTGTGTCTCTTTCTCCCCAGCCCCTCTTGTGTGTCTCTTTCTCTCCTTAGCACCTGTTGTACATCTCTTCACAGAGCCCTTAATGTGTGTCTGTGTATCTGCATGTGTGGCAGGGTCTGTATCTGTATCTGTGTCTGTACCTGTATGTGTGTCAATCTTTGCATATGTGTATCTGCATGTCTGTGTTTGTATGTTTATGTATTTGTGTGTGTCTTTATCTGTATGTATGTCAATGTTTGTATCGGTATGTATGTCAGTGTGTGTATCGGTAGGTCAGTCTGTGTGTGTTATTGTATCTGTACATCTGTATGTGTGCAAGTGTGTATATCTGTATGTGTGTCAGTGTTTGTATTCATGTACCTCTGTATATGCTTGTGTGTTCTGTATTTATATGTCAATGTATCTGCATGTGTGTCAGTGTGTTTGTCTGCACTGTATATACTAATATGCCTGAGGCAGAGGAGAATCAGGGAGAGCCTGGAGAAACAGAGGGAGCCTGGGGCAGAGGAGGAGAAGGGAGAGCCTGGGACAGAGGAGGAGAAGTGAGAGCCTGTGGCAGAGAAAAAGCAGGGAAAGCCTAGGGCAGAAAAAATGAGATATGGGACAGAGAAAAACGTTTACATTTGAAATAGTACAGCTATTTAAGTACAAACATTTTAATAATATAAGGGATACAATTTATGAGGGGCACAATTTATGAAAATGGTCTGCTTGAGGGGAACACAAGTGAAGAAAAGGTTGGGAACCACTGATCTTGTTACTTATTAGTAATTAATTCTACACAGTATTTAAAATACTTACCTGCTAAATATTTTTAGTTCCATTTTGCTAAGAAACGAGAATCCAGTGTTGGATGACTGAAGGTATGACAGAGATTCACACTGAAGATTATCAGGTTTAACACAGTAGAAATGCTCCATGTTCCTCTCATCGTGATATTCACATAGCGCTTTTGCTTTCAATTGGAAGCCACATTCATTCTTTACTTCTTGATGCCCACTCACAAATGTTCCCATAAAATGTATTAAACCATAACCTTGGTTTCTTGCATTCCATAACGCTGCCACTCCTTCACTTGGGTGGTAAAGTTTCAGGGAGAAACTGATGCTTCCTTCCCAGAATAAAGTAAAATGGACATGATAGGTACCATTACTAAAATCTTCAATCCACCCTGAGGCTGCTGCTTTAAGTCCTGATGTATACATTCTTGCTCTTAAGAAATCTCCTCCATGTGTCTTCCTATTACCCACATGGTCAAACATATCAATCTGGATAGTCATATTGTCTCCAACACAATATGTATTTTTTAGATTTATAATTGTTGCTCTGCTTTTGGCAGCACTTGTTGTGCGGTTCATGTGAGTGTACTGGACGAAAGGGATCATCTGTGACATAGTGTTCAGTATTTTGATTTCTAGAACTTCATTTTCTGTTAGAAAAGGGGTAGTAAGGTTTGGACTTACATTTTGTGTTGTTAAGATTTTTTTGAATAGAGTGACATAAAGGGTACCTGAAAAAAAGCATTAAGAAAATACATTATTTATAAGATAGTAATTGTGCCAGTTGTAGGTTTTATTTGGGTTTAGGAAAAGCATTTGAAAAGTTAAAAACAAACGTATTTAGTACTCAGTATGCTACAAGGCTCTGAACAGTTTTAATATTACTGTTATGCTTTAACAATGTAGAACCCATTATGCAGACAGAGGTAGCAGGATGTGTTACCAACCTTCTAGTGTTAGGCCTAAGGGAACACTCCATGCACCATGCTGTAGTGGGGAGTGCCCTGGTACAACCCTCCCCCCAAATGTAAGCAAACGACTTGGTTTCATTTCTTACCACGACATCACTTCAAACCACTTCATGCTACAGTTCTGGATTCTTTTTTTAAGGGGAATTGGAAATCCCTAGCTACCTGGCAATTTTGGAGTGAGGTGTACAGGCCACTGTATAATTATTTAGAGCCCCTGCCTATGTGCCATGGGTTGGGACTTGGAAGGGAGAAACTAAGTCCCCCTAGAATAATATAGATAGAGCCCCCACACACCACCAATTGGTGGAGGTTGGTATGAGAAGATTAGTTTCGCCACTTAATATTATAATAGCCCACACATACCGTTAATGGAGGAGGCTGGGGTTCAGACATTAGGATGTAAAAATTCAATTCCCCCCAAAAAATGTTTTACCCCAACCACTGACCATGGGTGAGGGCAGGGGGTGGGCAGTGATCCCATCATTGTTTGATTTATGGTCCCCCACCTAAGTAGATATAACTTCTCTTGCTGCATGGCAGGTGGAGTCACAGGGAAGTCTAAAACCTCCCTTATAGTACTATGGGGGTCTTACTGACCCTATAGGCCTTTTTTGCTGTCTAACTATCACATGATCAACCCTCAATATGCCGAGGGCTTTATCTGTTTGTCCTCTGCCTGCTAGCATGGTCAGCAGTCAAATTGTACTTCAAATTATGAATTTAATTACAGAAAAGCAAGACAATTGTAATTTGTGAATTTGCATCCTTTTGGTTCCCAATTGTGTTAATATCAGTGCTTTGTATACTTTGTATAGGGTTCGGATTCAAAAGCACTGATTTTAATCCAATCACCAAATGCATTCAGGTCAGTGGCGTACATACCGGGGTCATACCCACAGGGCCAGCCTCTTCTCCTGGGGGGCCCAGGAGCCGGCCACCTCAGGGCCCCCCCACCCCCAGGCTGGCCCTGCTGACCCTGCTGACCCTGCTGACCCGGGCGGGCTGTCTGTCTGGGCGGCCGGTGCGCGAGGGAGCACTTTCCCCTGAGTGCTTCCTCTTCAGCTCCCTCGCGCACCGCACTGATACCGGAGCCGGAAGATGACGTCATCTTCCGGCTCCGGCATCCCTATGCAGCGCGTGAGGGAGCTGAAGAGGAAGCACACAAGGGAAAGTGCTCCCTTGCGCACCGGCCGCCCAGACAGACAGCCCGCCCAGCAGCACCACTGGACCCCAGGGAATCCCCCCAGCTCTCCAAAAGGTAAGGAGGCTGGGGGGACTAAATTTTTTTAAAAAAAATGTGTGTGTGTGTGTGTGTGTTAGTGTGTGTGTTAGTGTGTGTGTTAGTGTGTGTGTGTGTTAGTGTGTGTGTGTGTGTGTGTTAGTGTGTGTTAGAGTGTGTTTGTGTGTGTGTATGTTAGTGTGTGTGTTAGTGTGTTTTTGTTAGTGTGTTTGTTAGTGTGTGTGTTAGTGTGTTAGTGTGTGTTAGTGTGTGTGTGTGTTAGTGTGTGTTTGAGTGTGTGTGTTAGTGTGTGTTTGTGTGTATGTGTTAGTGTGTGTTTGTGTTAGTGTTTGTGTGTGTATGTCAGTGAGTGTGTCTGTTATTGGATGTGTGTCTGCTAGTGAGTGTGTTACTGTGTGTGTCTGTCACTGAGTGTGTTTGATGTCTGTTAGTGAGTGTGTGTTTGTCAGTGAAAGTGTATGTTTTGTAAGTGAGTGTGTATGTATGTCTGTCACTGAGTGTGTCTCTGTCAGTAAATGTGTGTGTCTGTTAGCTATTGTGTATGCGTCTGTTCGTGAGAGTGTGTGTGTCTTCAGCATTTACCTTTCTCCAGCGTCGGACTCCCTTGGCGCTGGGGATCCCTCCGCCTCTCAGCTCCGAATGCACATGCGCGGCAAGAGGCGCGCGCGCATTTAAACCGCCCATAGGAAAGCATTACTCAATGCTTTCCTATGGACGTTCAGTGTCTTCTCACTGTGATTTTCACAGTGAGAATCGCGGAATCTCCTCTAGCGGCTGTCAATGAGACAGCCACCAGAGGCTGGATTAACCCTCAGTGAAACATAGCCGTTTCTCTGAAACGGCTATGTTTTCAGCTGCAGGGTTAAAACTAGAGGGACCTGGCACCCAGACCATTTCATTGAGCTGATGTGATCTGGGTGTCTGTAGTGGTCCTTTAAGTGTGTGTGCATACCGCGGTCGCGGGGTCGCAGCCCTGCAACCCCTGCGACCAGGTGCCTGCCGCCATGTGTTGCAGCCCCGACCCGCACCGAGTAAGCGCAAGGGGGAGGGGGCCCACGGATCAATTTTCGCACCGGGGCCCCATGGGTCATGTGTACGCCACTGATTCAGGTTATTGCAGCACATTCACTTATCCCAACCGGATTCCAACCATATTTGGCTTTACTAAATATGAGAATTGTCATTAAGTTCGGAATTCATTGTTTAGTGAATAACCCTGTTAATGTTGAGTTAGGTAAACATAGTGAATATTAAAAGAAAGCCCTTTCTGTCCTTTAAAACCTATATATAATCATATAAAAAACAATATATAATAGGTATATGGGCACTTCAGATTGTTATCATTCATAAAAACACATTTATGTCAATTTACACCATAACTAATTTTTCAGTTAGTTCTTCATCCTTACAAAGCAATAAGGAAGTAAGACAGGAGAAAGAACCGGATAAATGATAGTGTCCTGCAGAGTGGTAGTTGCCTCGTTATAGAGGGGTGACCTTAGGATAGGTTGGGATCGGGGCAATCACAAAAGAGGAAAGATAATTAAAACTTCACTTTTAATGTGAATAGTTAAAAGGGGGGTAGACAAACAAATTTTAGTTCAAATAACTGTTGTAAGAAATCCTCAAGTGATACAGTTACACTGCCTGTTAACAGAGTAAAATGCCACTGTGGGAACAACAGCTACAAATTAGTAGTGTCAATAATGTATCGATATACCAGTATCCGGGCTCAAGGAAAAATAGCCAAGTCCCAGTGAGCTGCACTGAAGCTGTTAACAAAGCTGATAACAATATTTAACGAAACTGCAGTGTCTAGACTCCAAAACAAGCTTGAGAGTGCCAGTATAGTGCAGAAAATAGCATCTCAGAAATGATGACAGAGTCCTGTGTTAAAGACTTTGAGAAATAGCATCTAGAGGTAGTATAGGTAGTATGGTAACTAGGAGGTACAAACTGCAAAATGTTGCCTGGTAGATTCTGCAGGAGCTGGCTTAATAACCAACAAGCTATAGGTAGAGAGGGGTTAACTACAAAAACACTGGAACTCCTAGTGTTATGGTATGTGCTGGCAGGAGTATCTGCAGTATAGTAACTAGGAGGTGAAAACTGCAACATGTTGCCTGGTGGATTCTGCAGGAACTGGCTGTATAACTCACAAGCTATGGGTAGAGAGGGGTTAACTACAAAAACACTGTAAATCCTAGAGTTATGGTATGTGCAGGCGGGAGTATCTGCAGTATAGTAACTAGGAGGTGCAGACTGCAGAGATATTTCCTGGTATATTCTGCAGTAACTGGCTAAATAACCAACAAGCTGTGGGTAGAGAGGGGTTAACTACAAAAACACTATGAATCCTCCTATGCTTGTGGTCCCTAAGTACTTGTGCCTTCAAGGGCACCCCCTTAGCCAAAAGCCTACAATATCCTATGGAAATATAAATAGAAAATTGCTCTGCTGGGTAACGGCCGAGCCGATGCCGATAGAAAGCTTTAATTGGTATGGTAAGTAAAGATGTCACTCTTAGTAAAGTGACAGGTCACTCTTAGTAAAGTGACTAGTGGATAGCACCAGTGATGTTTCCCCTGATGCGCGTTTCACCTCACAGGTTCATCAATTGTTGTTGGGACAAAAGGTTTTACAAGACACTCTATGTCCCTTGTCTTAAACTATATCCAATAGAAATTACATATTTTTTTTTAGATTATATTAGAATTATTAAATATTAAGATTATATATAAAAAATAGATAAATACAAATATCATGCTTAGAGTGTTTTAGTAAGGAATAACAACCCAGATCATAGAGATTCCTTAAAAATAAAAAGGTCTGTATGTGGGCACAATGCATATACAGGGAATATAGATACATAAAGTAATAACGTATCTGCCATATAGCCACCTATGCAGACTGCTTTTGTAAACAAAATAATTTGTGGAGAAAATATATTAATAACTAGTGAGGCACCGAACGGTTCACTGGCGAATAGTTCCTGGCGAACATAGCATGTTCGCGTTCGCCATGGTGGGCGAACATATGCGCGGTTCGTCATCAGTGAGTAAACTTTGACCCTGTACCTCACAGTCAGCAGACACATTCTAGCCAATTAGCAGCACACCCTCCCTAGCAGACCCTCCCACCTACTGGACAGCATCCATTTTAGATTCATTCTCAAGCTGCATGCTTAGTGAGAGGAGGGAAAGTGTAGCTGCTGTTGATTTGATAGGGAAATGGATAGCTAGGTTAGTGTATACAGTGTCCACTACAGTCCTGAAGGACTCATCTGATCTCTGCTTAAGGACAGCACCCCAAAATCAGTCTGCTTTTTTTTTTCTGTGTAATGTAATTGCAGTTGCCTGCCTGCCAGCTTCTGTGTCAGGCTCACAGTGGATACTGTGCCCACT